GCGGTCAAGGAAAAGGAGATCGAGGGGCAGCTGATTGTTGGTGAGTAATACATATGTAATTTTTTAATCTTTATTATTCGTAAACTTAAGTGCTCAATTAATTTTGCGGAAAGTACCCGTAATCATTTTACGTCATCTTGAGACATTAAAGTTTAGAATTGGCCAACCAATACAGGCTACATTAGACGATCGCTTGTTCGAGAATTACGATAGTATTAGTGATCGTACGCTTCGAAACTTCCGTTAACTCAACACCTCCACCGAGAGAAATCAAATTCGGTAAAATTAAGTGCAATTTATTGCTCTAATCTCAAATTTCGCGAGGAATAAATTTGAAACTAGGATATCGGCCATCAATCAATTTGGAAAATAATAATTTGATATCAAATGGATATTGTATACTATTCAGTTTTTATATCGTTATAAGATTTTAGAGCATAAAAATTAGGTCTTTTTGAAATCTATTTACAGTATTTTAGAGCAATTAATTAATTCTAGTATATTTGTATTTTTTCACTATAAATATTTCCTAAACATGAAAATGATTAAGTTAGCACCCTTATCTTTATTAATTTCCTATTAATTGATAGAAGCATAAAATTCAAGCAACAAATTAACCTGATTAATCAGCATTAACTTGATTATGTCGTATATTCAAATTTGATTTCTCGTGTTGGACATTGAAGGTGAAAAAGAGGTACAATCTCGAATATATTCGCCGCGACAAACACGAGGGAAAATAAATTAATTAAAGGCGCGACATCGCATACATATATCGACACCAGATACAAAATTATATTAACGTAGCAAAGAGAAGGTTGTGGATGCGACCCCCGATTGCAAAACTTTATTCGAGTGCGAGATGAAGAAAAAAAGAGCTTTGCGACAAAACTGCGAGAAAACGATCAAACTTTGCCAAGTATCACGATAGAATTTATTCTATCGAACAAAAAGATCGCAAGGTACAAAGATCTGAAATTAAAATTTAGTATAATGTAGTAATTTTAATAATGTGCTGTTTTTAATCAATTTTATGAAATCACGTTTCTAAAATTCTAAAGTTTACGTATAATCAAATATATTAAATTAAATTAAATTTAATAGAATTATTTTTACATGCTTTAATCAAGTTTTGCATTAATTTGAATAAAAACTTGAAATATGAAATCAAAATAAAAAATTCTAAAATTCTAAAGTTTACGTATAATCACATATATTAAATTTAATTTAATTGAATAGAATTATTTTTTCATATGTTTCAATCAACGCCGCAATTCTTTTGCATTAATTCAAATAAAAATTTGCAATATGAAATGTAATACGTGGATGCATTATGACTCAAACTTTTTAGTCTTTTAAAAAAAAAGAGCTTTTTGTGACAAAATTGTGAGAAAACGATCAAACTTTGCAAGTATCGCAATAAAATTTATTCTATCAAACAAAAAGATCTCAAGATACAAATATCAGATTTGAAATTAAAATTTAGTACGATGTAGTCATTTTAATAATATACTGCCTTTAATCAATTTTATGAAATTACGTTTCTAAAATTCTAAGTTTATGTATAGTCGAATATATTAAATTAAATTAAATTCAATAGAATTATTTTCATATGGTTCAATCAACGCGACAATTCTTTTTGCATTAATTCAAATAAAAATTTCAAATATGAAATGTAATACGTGGATGCATTATGACTCGAACTTTTAGTCTTTTAAAAAAAAGAGCTTTTTGTGACAAAATTGTGAGAAAACTTTGCAAGTATCGCAATAAAATTTATTCTATTCAACAAAAATATCTCAAGATACAAATATCAGATCTGAAATTAAAATTTAGTACGATGTAGTCATTTTAATAATATACTGCCTTTAATCAATTTTATGAAATTACGTTTCTAAAATTCTAAGTTTATGTATAGTCGAATATATTAAATTAAATTAAATTCAATAGAATTATTTTCATATGGTTCAATCAACGCGACAATTCTTTTTGCATTAATTCAAATAAAAATTTCAAATATGAAATGTAATACTTGCATTATAACTCGAGCTTTTTAGTTCTTCTCCAAATTGTACAAAATCAAAATCTACAGTCATCTCGTAAGCCCAGTATAGGCTTTCGACGGCTCGAATTTCTAGAAATCTTGGACGATGCTTTTATCCTGCGTATTCTAAAAATTACCACCCGGGCAATAAGCATATGTCCTTCGTTGTACCTCTGGTGCATTCTAACTTCTCGTTTCGACTTTCTCTAAAACCGTCCGTCGGTCGGCGTCCTGCCAGTCAGCGTCTGCGTCTCGTCTCGTCCAACTGCACGAAGAAAGAGGGAAAAAGAGAGAGAGGGGAAAGAAAGAGAGAGAAAGAGACGAGCCAACTATGCGGTTTGTACACAAAAGCGGCCATCTTTCCTCACGCTCGGAAAAGAAGAAGGACGGACTCGCCTGACGGAGTAGCCAGCACAACGCCGAGTTTACGCACACATATTGCGAGAACACAAGACAGGCCAGCACAGGCCAGGTCGTTACCTGGAAAGGATCAGGCACACGTCCGGTTTCGCGCGCGCGGACAAAAGTTTCAAGAAGTTAGCGGGACGTATATCGGTGGAAAAAAATTAATTTCTCCTCAATTTTCGAAAGAAATGTTGCGAAATAATTTCATTTACTTTGTCGATACCACTATCGAGTGATATTTTCATCTTTCTTGGGGAAGCGATGTTTGTCAGCGCCTCAAATCGGCGAGAAACATATATCGCTCGTGATAATTGTGGATAATTGAAAACAACGGTAGTCTTAGCCTAGGTCATTCTACTTTTTAATACATACACATATACCGTGTAATAAATCGTTAAAGTAGCGTAAAATACTACTACAGAATAAATGACAGAGTTTCTATTTAAATCTTGGAAAAAATTCCGCCCAGTATTTTTTGTTCAAAATTCCAGATAACGAATTTTTTTACACATTTTTTTAGATGCAACTTTCTAAAATAAATTTTCTATTGTGTGCGTTTTTTAATGCTTTCCATTCATACGAAAGAAAAGGAAGGAGTCACTTAATCTAGCACTTTTAAGTGATAAATTTGAAAATGTACTGAAAAAAAAAAAAACTGAAAAGAATTTGCGTATAAAATAATTTGCATGATATTTTCATTTGTTAAAAATTTATAATAAAAATATGTAATGCATATTTAATACCAATTAAAACATTGAACATGTAAATAAAGATAGATATATTTATTATATCGTGTTAAAAAATATATATATATTTATATATTTAAATTATATACATGTATAGATTTATATATTTTGCATACTACAATATTATAATTCACAATTTATTGTTAGTAATTTAGCTTACAAGAGCAAAATGATGAACGAAATTTTTTTTTTTTAATTCCCCGATTTTATCAAGTACAAAGGAAATGCTTGAGAATTCCAATTTTTTCAGGGAACAGACGTCCTAAATATGATATTACTAATGACAGCTACCGGTGTCGCCGAGGGCTGTAGACGTATTTATTTTTCGACATTTTGATATGTTAGACCGCGCGCTCGCGAGCTGCAGTCAAATTACTGTAATTACGGACTTTCTCGTCGATGCGTGTACGCGTCACGCGTGTATTTCACACGCAGATTACGCCGACGGCGTTGCAGTAATTAATACCACGCTAGGCGAACGATCGCCAAGAATAAATGTATATTCATCTCGATATATGTACAACGATCGATTAATTAATTTATCGTCAAATTTTCTCTGCCATGTTTAACGAGGTCTGTAGAAAAAAAGGAAAGATTGCTATCATTTTATATATTTTTCAATATACACATTTCTCATTTTTCTTTATTAAAGCTCAATTGAAAAATACGTCTACGCCAGAAACCGACACAGCTTGTGTGCTCGACGCCAAAAATTAAAAATAATTTCTTTTTATACGGTAATATTTTTTTGCGAATAACTTTTATTATCTACGATGCGTCCCGAACCCGCGACGTTACTTTTTACGACCCGTACTTTAGATAGATACGATTCAACTCCGAGATTACTCCAAAATTCCAAAGTTTGACCAAACTATAAGCTCTTATCCCATTGATCTTGTGTAATAAAACGAAATGAAACTTGCACGCATAAAAACGGGATAATTTATGGATTACAGATATAATCCATGCGTCTAATGCTGGGATATATATTTTAGTCATTAAATATATGGATAAGAAGATAATTGAATTTATATTTGGAATATAAGCGAGAGTGCAAGTGATTCTTATAATTTTATTCGCGATAATATAAAACGCGATGTTGGACAAGATTCTCTGCGTGGGTGTAAGATTAAACTTTTCGAAAATACACCGAGAATCCTTATTTTTTACAATCGTTTGGTTTAATTTGCAAAAGGATGTGAAATTTCTCGATTGTTTCCCGGAGTATGTTTACTCAGGTTTTGTAAAAAAAATTCTCTCCCGGGTATTTTTATTTAGAATTCTAGGTAAAGAGAATATTTTGAACATTTATTTGGTGCAATTTTGTGAAATAAGTTTTTTCGTTGTATGAATCTTTTAATGCTTTTCACAAAGTCATTTAAATTTCAAGTCTAGATTTGCAAAAAAAAAAGTGACTAGCTTTCGTAAGACAAATATTTTTCTCTCGTATCATTTTCACTCGTCATCATTAAAAATTACGATAAAAAAAATACGTACTACATTATTTTAAAAATTGAATATATAAATAGAGAGATTTAGATATATTTATACATCTTATTATTATATTTTGAACACGATTGATAACGATGTACGAGCAAAGTGATAAGGGAGAGAATTAAAAAAAAATTGTCCGATTTTTCCACGTACGAAAGAAATCCCTGAAAATTGGAGACTCTCGATATTTTTCCAAGGAGCAGACGCCCCATTTCGGAGTAAACACTCCGGCGCAAACAATCGCCGCGCTCGGTCACGACGGCCGGCGGGAAGAAAAATAACACAAAAGGGAAAGAGAAGGAGGGACTCACCGGTAATGACGTCAGCTGTGGAAAGCGAACCGGATCCAAAGTTTGCCGCGGCAGGTCGATCCGCTGGCGATGGCGCGGCGATTCACCGGCCCGGCCTGGCCGGGCGCGAACGACGTCGACGACGATTCCGTGCGGCAGTCACGACGCACACGCGCGCGCCCTGACACATATGTACGCACACGCGGGAACGCCGGCGCGTATCCTATTTGGAGAATTCGATCGACCGGTCGATCCGTGAGACGACTCGCGGCACCGCGTCACCCCGCGGCATAATTCGCGTCTCGTGCGCGCGCGCGCGCGCGGAGGACACTCGTCGTCCCCTTGGCCCGCTTTCTTTCTCTTCCTCCGGCGCGTCTCCGTCTCGCACTCGCGCGCACTCGCTTCACCCTTCGTCGTCCCTCCTCTTCCTCCTTTCCCGGGCTCTCTCCTTGTCGCACCCGCGCACTGTCAGACGCGTGCACGTGCACCGTCACGCGGCACCACACACGCGCGTAGACACCGCCCGGGAGATTCGCCGAAACTCACGTGTCTTCCCTCTCTTGCTTCTCCTCCGTCTGCTCTTCGTGTCGTCGCTTCCGCTGCGATCTCTGTGGAAAGGACGGGACGTTTTTCGCGGCTCGGAAAATGTCCAATTAACGCACCCGCGGGGGGATCGCGCGCAACTTCGCGTCTCTGCGGCGCGCACGCGCGCGCGACAAGGCGCGAAATTTCACCGATTCGAAAGGCGGAGGAATCTCTCGTTTTATCGAAGCGTCTGTTCTCTCGTAATTTCTTTTTCTTTCGTATCAATTACACGAGCAATCGTCTCATTTCTGTAATATATATACAAGTACATAAAAAATATTCCACCTTATATGCAACAAAACGTTTAATAAAAAAATACCCTTATAATAAATAATTTATAAAAATTTTCCCTCAAAAAATATATATAATTTTCCTACAAAAAATCAAAACTAATTTCTGTAATATATATATATTCGTCATGTCTAAATATCCCATCGTTATATCACGTTTATTTTCATCGGAATAAGTTTGTAAATCGGAAATGACAAATTTAGATCCCGACCACGCACACGGACGCCAAATAATTACAAAGGGTTTCGGACTTCCTATATTAGTGCACCTCGGTTACGCAACTCGCCGAGTATTTGGAATCGCGTCGTCATCGTCGTCGTGGCTCGGTTTTACGGCGAAATAACTACGACGCGCGTTGTTTAATCGAAGAGCGTTGCACCGACCCGACTCGTGTATATGTACGCGTCATTACATACAAGACACACGCGCTGCACGTGTTCCGTGGAATGGAGGCACGATGCTATTAATATCAAAGTACGTGCCAATATATGTATCGCGAGAAACGATATCTCTCTTTCTTTCTATTTTTTCTGTCTAATACAAGTGTAACAGATGTTCAGCCTTCGAGAGGTAAATTACTGATTTTAATTTAGACAATTTAATATTATCGAATATACGTACATATGTATAAGAACGCGAATACAAGGCAATCATTTAATATAGCCGCGTTTAATTAAGAACACGCGTCGATATAACTGCGAGCTTTCCATATCGCAATAAACAGCTGTTTGAAAAATTTGTATCTATTCAAATTAAATCCCTATAAAAGTGAAATTTGACACGTTGCATTCGAATCGATACAAACGTTTTTATTTCGTGTACACCGTATATCTTCTCAACGCGTTAAAAGACGGGGGAGGAAGATGAAGATGAAGAAGGATTCTCGCAACGCGTGGCAACGTCTGGCAAATGGAAATTCGTCCGATTCCGCAGCCTTTCGATTCGGTCGACCTAGACGCAATCGACAAGACACGCGAGACACGCCGTCGCCTTGGAAGTCGGTCGTACGAGAGCCGGCCGAGCCTATCGGCGCGCTGTCCGCTCGACTTCCGGTTCAGCTGTTTGCACAAAGGTCCGCATATTTCTCCGATCCGCGTTTGTCGGCCTCGACGCGTCGCTGGTGCACCTCGGTTTCGTTCTCGCTCGGTACGCTTCGTTCCGTTCTCGGTTACCCCTACCACCGCCCCCCTCTCTCTCTCAGCGTCTCTCTCTCTCCCTCTCTCGCACCCTTCTTCTATTCGTCCCACCCCGTTCCCTCCGCTGTAGCATTCAAGGTAGGCGCACCTCGCGCGCCCGAGAATTTCCTCGTTGACCCGCGCACCTCCCGCGCTCTGTATTCCACCTGCGACTCGTCATCGCCGTTATTAATATCGTCCCCGTTGCCGCCGCACCGCGCTCGGGAGCTCGTTATCGTTCCCACGACGGAACCGCGCTATCAACGTCGCCTACGTTTTCATCGCTCGCCTTCAGCGTTGGCGATCGAGCCCCGCCAAATTTCGGCAACCGTCGAAATTAATGCGACCGTAATCGAATTATCCAACAACCGGCAATCGACATTAACGAAAGGACAATGTTAAAAAAATATACAAGACATTAATATACAATGCATTAAACATTCTTGTCAATGACTTTACCTTCGATAAATATAAATCAATACGATAAATCAATCGTCATCATTTCAATCATTGTACGCCCTGCGTTTGCGGAAGGGGAAAGAAAGAGAGAGAGAGAGAGAGAGAGAGACTGGGAGACTTCGGAAAATATTCGCCACACGCACGTGAAAAATTGTCGAGATCCGAGAAGGGAAACACTCTCGGGGTCGCGCGCTTCCGACAAGATCGAACGGAGTTCTTCTTCTTCTCTCCTTCATCGGCCTTTTACGCGACCGATCGACGGTTTCTCTCTCGATACCCTCTGCGTGCTGCCGCCTCCGTGTTTCCTTCTTCTCGCCGTTGATCCCATCCAAGTTGCCGAGCGTCCGGACCTCAGTGGCCGAGAATTTCCCCTCTCCCGGCGCCAGCGGTAAGCCCTCCTCCTGCGGAACAAAGTACGGTTTCTCGTTAAGACGTGTTTCACCGATGCCAATTGACGAAAAATAAATAACGATTAGCGAGCAAGTAAATACTAGGAGTTAAAGTCGCGACGACGATGTTGACACAGTCCTCGTTTTAGATTTAAATTTTTATTCCAAGAAATTGCTCTCCTTCTAATTAGATACTTCCATTTCTTACGTTGAGAAAAAAATCTGGTTGCATTAATTAGAATTCTGGTAGATTCCAACCAGGATGTCTGTTGAAAAATGAACAAACCAGAATTCTTGTAGGAATTACCAGATGAATCTGATTAATATCCTCCTGTTAAATATTTACCAAATTTTCTGGTTAATAATACTAAACTCGCCAGCACCAAGTCGTCTCAAATTTTTTCCATCTAATCTCTCAAAAGTCTGTTTAATATTCTGAACAAGATGATTGGAAATGATTGGATGATTGGATGATGGTAAATTCAATCCAGATTATTGAATATAAATGATTTTAAATTGTTTGTTAGAAATTAAACAGTGATAGAAGAAGAGGACGCAGTTCAATCAGAGAGCTAGCGTCCTCTTTCTGGCACTGCTCGTAAGAGAAAAAAAATATACTTTGGATTTAACGTTAATACTACTAGTTCTTTATATACATTTTATGGCAAATATTGAATACGAGTTAAGTTAATTTAATGTAACACGATTAATAGATTTTACTATAAAGTAAAAAAAATTTTTTTAATTTTTTATAACTAGATTTTTTATAACTAGATTTTTTATAATTTTACTTTATAGTAAAATCTATTAAACGTTCTAGTTATAAAAAATCGAGTCTTATCATGACAACTAGAAATTCTTCTTTGATTTAATCAAAATGCCTTCAGTCATATACGTCTTGTTGCTACAATCAAACGATTTTTCTCGGTGTTTTTAAATTTCCTCTCTCTTTCTGTGCCACGAAATTATGAAAAAAAAAAGAAAACAGTGAAATTACTTTAATCGTATTGTATTTCTAAATATATTTAGAATGCAAATGAGGAGCGTAGGAAAGATAAGAATAAATGTCTAATCTCTCGATACCGACCCATATTGCACGCGCATTTGTGTTAATCGTAATTAATATGGAAATTTCGCTGCAATCGCGAGACGAATATTGCACCGAGATTTCCATTGACTAATCGGTCCTTCTTTTCTCCGCACCGGCGAATACTTGCGGAAACTAATTACGTTATAGAGTGAACGCGGTGCGCACGATAGTAACCGGTCACGCGATAACGAAACACTTGTAACTTCACAGAGCATTCTGTGTTTCGGTCTCTCCATTTTCCGCGTAATCGACGGCAATTATGACCCGTGTATTTCCACGTGCGCCAACTATAAATGAAGACGAATTAACATGCAAATGAGTGATCGAACGTGAACCGATGCACGGGGAGAAAAAAAAATGGGGATGCGCCGTTGTTGTCGCTACCATCGATTCGATACCGTCATTACACGTGCTCATTATCCGCAAAGTTGAAAATACCCGATGCGGTGGAAAGAAATTTATGATTGCGTCAGGTTTAGGATAAGTGTTCGATAATGGCCGGTTATTGACCCGCCTGTGTTCACGGATGAAGACAATGAGGTAGAAATAAAGGACGCGAATAAAACAGAAAAATAAGTGGAAATGACATGTATAAGAATATAAGATATTGTTGCAACACACGAAGAGGCAGCTTTCCAACTTTACAATGTTATTAAAAATTTCACGCATCTATTACATCTCCTCCCTTCGGAGAGAGATAAATAATCGAGATTGCTTTTGAACTTTCAGGTAAATACGAGACGTACAAAATCCCCTCTCGATAAAACTATTAACGTCAAACTGATTTACATCCGTTATCTTATCGCTAATTTAATCTCCCGCGTCTCTACGAAACTTAAGACTCATTCTCGATACTCGAAATTAGTTTTGGCAAATGAAACGTTTTCGTGCGAGAAGCATCCGTAATCAAGATATCGTTCGAAAATTTCTCGCGTGAGCATAAATTAGCGCTCACGACAAGCGAGATTTGCAAAAATCTCGGGCACCGCGTTGGTTACGTATTACACATAAAGAGACGTAAAACGTATATTTTGCAGGAAATCCGCAGCAGCCGACAGAGAGATACGGCAATTACGTCGGGATAGGTGTACCAAGCACGCAATGGGGGCGCGATCGATCCTCGTGCAGTGGGAAATACTGCGGGAGAAAGCATCTGACACGCGTTTCGAATCGCGCCGTTCCTGCTGCTCGGGTCGATCTTGCGAGCTCGAAATAGGCAACAACAACAAAAATGACAAATATCAGCTGTACGGAGTAGTCTGGCTCGCTCGAGCGATCGATCCGCGACCGTTTCGCGACGCAAAAATAACGGCATCGACGTTCATCGAAATGTTTTCCCGATACCCGCTCGAACATGAGGTGTCTGCTTGAATCTTGTGAAAAAATTCTCCGATCTAGATAGCTTTAAAATTCCCGGCGAAGAGAATATTTGGAGGATTTTTCGATGCAAGTTTCTTTTATTTTCCAATGCTTTTCACTCGCGCGAAAGAGAAACACAAAGATACTTTAGTTTCAAGTGCTAGATTTGCAAATGTAAAAACTGAATAGATTTCGCAAGATATACGTTTTTCACTCGCAACACTTTTATTTTTTATCGCGAAAAATTATAATAAAAATATGTACCAGACATTTTATCAAGACACTTTAAATATATGAACAGAGATAGATGTATGTTTATAACATATTTTATTTGTTATAACATATTTTAAATCTCATAATTTGCAATTCAGCGGATTGCCCCACCTGCTCGCAAAAGGAAAATTATGAAGGAAAGGATTTTTTTAAATTTTCTTCGAGTCTCGATAAAATTTCATAAAATTTCCTGATTTTTCCAAATACAAAAATCTGTGAGAATTCCAGGTTTTCCCTGAAAGTAGACACCCAGTATAACTATATGTATACAACTAATGTGCTCTAAAATCAAAATTCTATCGCGTCGCGAGCAAAACAATTTGCATTTTAAAGACTTTATTAAAATAAAATTTTTTAAAAATCTGGAAAAATCAACTCGAAATTAAGAAACTTTAAAATATATGAGAATATAGAAACATTTTATCAGAGAGTAAATAGTCTCCTTCCTGGGTAGCTATCATCGTCAATCGTGTACGTATTAAAATTTTTTTTAAAATCCAATCGTACGTCTCGTATCATTACGACTCGTGCAATGCAAGCTGAGTCATCGTGAACTGTACACATTAATGTTACACTTGGTCATTCTTGAGGATGTTTCCTTTAAGATACATTACGCATTCAACTCTTTCACCCTCTATTATGATTCGGTGATGATGTGTATCTTGCTTATTTAAATGCAAACGATGCAAAAAAAATTTGAGTTGTCACCGAATATATAGTTAATGGCATCGAACCGATCGATCCGATAGAATCTTTGAGGACGTTAATATTTCGATGTCTTTTCAATGGCGAAAAATTTCTCAAAAATTGCACAAGATATTTATAAAAAGAGAGAATTTTTCGAGATATCTATTATTATTTTTCAGGAGAATACATCAATTATTTATGTACTTTCTCGAAACGCTAAATCAGATTTATGCGTATATATCGCTAGCAATTATCCGTCCCGCTGTCATCGATGATAAGGGACAATCGCCGAGACCGATATCGATGACGAGGTGCACCTCGATAATCGCGTTCGCATCCAAGTTTTCCGTCTCTCTCCTTCTTTCAATAGGTGTATTACCGAGCGGAAAGCTCTTTCGTAGTGACGCGGCCAGACTGGAGGACATCTTATTGGCCGGCTAACGTAAACACGCGTATGAGCACACCCCTTGTCTCCTTACATCATGGAGTCCAGATATCTCTTCCGATCCAAGCTCCCCCCGTCGCCCCCTTGGCTCGCAGCCGCCGTAAGCACCCCCACTCCCGCTCCTAGCTTCGCCCATTCACCGTTGGCGCGCAGCGTCTCGCATCTCCTTCCCACTCCGACTACGACCGCGTTCCCCTCCCCCCCACCGACTCCACTCGATCCCCGAGCCCAGCGAAGACTACTACACGTCCGCAGCCGCGGCTCTCCTCCCTGCTACACAAACAACACGCCACACGCATGCGAGTTCCACTTCTCGGCGTTGCTGCACGAAGAGAGAAGGAAAGAAGAAAAGAAACAGAGAGAGAGAGAGGGCTCATTCCCTCTGACGAGGAGCACAGAGGTGGTTACCAGCGGCCGTGTAACCCTTGACTCGCTTGGCGGGTCCACCGTGCTCCGTACATTCTGTGAAAATCTTGGTCTCCTTGCCTCGGAATATATTCGCAAATGCAGTCTGTGGAGATTGCCTTTAATCTTGTAGTCATTTTTCGTGCATCGAGGATTTATTCCCTCCAATAAAGTCTAATGAAATATATCGAGGATACCGGATGTTTAATATATTTTACATCTAGTATATTTTTGATTAATATTATCATTAGCATTTTGAAATTTTCAGAAAAATATCGTGGAGAGCCGCAGAGGTAGAATTTTGATCGAGTCCAAACAAGAGGTATTTCCAAACAATCCGACATTGACTGTACATGCCGTCGCATCCTTGACAAAAGCCTTGACTTTTCGGCGAGGCAAAGCATGCGCGCGCGCGCGCGCACGTTGACGAATTTCGTAAGCGAGAGCTGCTCGCTCGCTCGCTCTCGCCTCCTTTTTCCAAATGCCGCTTTTCTCATCTCCTCGCTTCGTGCATGCACACTTTCGCTAGACCGTTCCTCTTTTCCCACCCGTTATCGATTACGGCGCGCGCGCGCGCGCGGACAGCGCGACGGCGAAAGTAGAGGCGATTTCGTATCGCGAGCTTCACTGAAATGTTGTAACGATAAAACCGTCTCTCTCGGTTATCGTGAATTTTCTCCCTTTAATCTCCCGACACGCCCGCGTTTGTTTTTCTAATCCGCGGAAATTCGAGTTTTCGCCCGTGTAACGACT